TTTATAGCGTGCATGCGAGCGCGAAGAACACGGAATTGCAAGGACTTAGAAAGGAGATTAGGAGAGGGAGCGCCTACGTTTTGCATGGCCAGACCGCGGCGTGGGGGACGTAGCCACTCTCCACGCATCGATCCGAGCATGCAGGCCGCGAGCTAACTAAGCACAGCAAAAGGGAAAGAGAGAGCGGGAAAGACGAAGCTCAAGAAGAAAGATACAGTTACAATGGCGCCCGCCCAAAATTACAGTTATTTGCAAGACTAAGGGCGCCGACTAATCAGAGTTCCGCTGTAGCCGCAAAAAGAAGCGCGCAAGCAGAAGGCGTTGCGCGGCAAAAGGAAATCCTGAATTCCAAAATTCCAAAATTCCAAAATTCCTATCTAATGCAAAAATGCAAAAAAGCACAAATTCTGGAAAGAAAGTCCGAAGTTCCGAGAGCCGTCAAGGCTCGACAAGATTCAAAAGGAATTTGAAAGAAAATTCGAAAAGAACGAGGCAAAATTCCCGCGCGATCTCCGCGCCTAAAATCCGACAGCCAGAACAAAAAGAGATGACGTCAACCATTATTACATGCGCGCACATCGGCGCGCCACTCAACCGATCATCCCAGGACTTGCCCGGCCCTGAACCCAGCCATCCGAAAAGAAGCAACGCAGAAAGACGAAGAGGCGAGGACACTGACGCGATTTCCCCTCAATCCCGATCTCCCGTAATTGGCCCAACCTTCCCATCTCAGGACCCCTCATTGTCATCGCGCAGAAAATCGAGCGGAACAGAAATTGGTTCGTCACAAGACACCTCAAGACAAAACTTCATCACCTTTGTGGCATGGCAATATGTAACAAGAAAGAAGAGCCAAGGAGGCATGGGCGTTCTAGACCCGGCCAACCAAATAAAAGCTCTCCAAACCAAGTGGATTATAAAGCTACTAACGAGTCCTAACTTCCCTGGAGAGCCCTGGCTCTAGATGGGCTGCAACAACTTTTGAGCTTTAACACTCTAGAGAACATGGAAGGTACCTTCTTGATCCTTAGCTAATTATGGACCAGAAAGAACAAGTCCCAAAACAGAACTTCTGGAAGAGGCTATTGAAGGTGTGGAGAGAGATCTTTCCCTCAAAAGTAAGGACACCAGCAAAGAGGAAATCCACAGACAACCCCTCTTCTGTAATCCTTGGATAGCCAATACCGAAGGCACACCCTTCACTCTCACCGCAAAGGACACAAGATGGGGTCCTTGGGTCGAGAGAGGCATCTGGCAAATCAAACACATCTGGGATGACTCTAAAATGGATTGGCAGTCAGCTAGACAGCTCAGGGAAAAACTTGAAGGCTGCCACAACCTAACCCAAAACCTCCAACAAATGACAAACGCCATCCTATTGGAATGGATATCAACTCTCAAAAAAGACAAACAGTGGTCACGAGGAGATTGGGCGGTAATGACACATATGAAACCCCACGAGTACGCACTAGCCTTTATAAAGGAAGAAGATGGTAGAAATAACTGGCTCACTTTCTCCATGCACAGGCTAGAAGAACCAGGAACACATTACTGCAAACAGTGGCCCGGGTCCACTTGCCCGGCCGGGCGAATAAGAAATAAAAAAATAAAAAAATAAAAAAAAATAAAAAAACAAAAAAATAAAAATGATTTTTTTTTTTTTTTTTTTTAATTTGGTAAAGAATTTCGATGTGACCCTGAGGCAAAAGTTGCTCAGTTTATTTTTCTGCATAGTCTTTTTTCGGATTTTTTGAATTTTTTTTTGTTTTTGTTTTTTAGCTGGGACCTTCCCTGCTCCTTGCACGGCCGGGCCGTCCGGGAAAATAGGGTGACCCGGGCGGCCCGGCTGGTAGCCTAGCTGCAAAGTCAACAAAGCCCCAATAGCACAGGTCAGTGTCAGCGAGGTCAATCTCAGAAAAGCCAAAGTAATAGAAAACGAGGATTTTACAGTATTCCAACTCCAAACTACCATAGCGGAATTAGAATTTGACCCAGAAGAAGGGCATGGAATCTAAAGCAGAAGTTCACAAGAATAAACCGCAGAATAAATCTGATCTACTCAACCAGCCTAGGCTATAAACTTAGACGTAGATCAACAGCCCCAAAAACAGTCATAGCAGACCGGTGGTACAGACATCTTGAACTAGACCCCGAGACTTTAAAAGAAATCCCGTGGAACCATATAGCAACACTTCATCCCCTAAGTTCAAAAGCCTACAATGGTTAATCCTATACCTAGCAATCCCCCTCAATCAATGGCTGAACAGTAGAAGAAGAAAAGAAGCTAGAAACCCCTTAAACCACCAGTACACCCGACCCTAAATGTACGAGTCTAAATTTCGAATTTTGCCGAGCCTGAAAGCCATGGGCACCAGCTCTTGGAAAATTGGGGTGGTACCATTACCGGCCTCTGTGCTGGACCTGCTGTCAGGCGATGGAATGAAAAGGAGGCCGTTTTTCACTACTTGACACCCAGCCAAACACCCACAGGAGAGAGCACCCGCATGTAGCACAGATCGGGTGCCAGATGCAGGCACCTCGTCATGCATGGCTGCCTGTTCGCAAAATGAGCGGGCAGTGGTATATAATTTAAAATTTCCCCTTACAGCTGAAAAGTTGAAAACAAAATAAAGCAGAGCTTTCCCAAAAAAAAAAATAATAATAATAAATAAAGCAGAGGACATGAGATTGTCTGCAAGATCTTAGGACACCTCGTTTGTCCTCTGACCGCTGTGCTGCCACATGGTCCACACGAGATTCACTTCCTGAACCAGATACACACCTGGATTCCCACAGCACTGCCCGTTCTCCTCAGGCAGGCACTCGAAAAAAAACAAGTTTTTTTTTTTTCGTTTTTCCTTTTTTTTCGGTGCGAATGAGGCAGGAACACTTTACTTTTCTGCGCCCGTATGCAGACACAGAATGGGCGCGGATACATAACCTGTGAATCACTGCATACTTGCCTACAGCGGGCGTTTCTGCCCTTTTTCCTGAAGTTTGAAGGCTTTCTGCCCTTTTTCCTGAAGTTTGAGGGCTTTCTGCCCTCGTATAGTGCATGCCCGCCATGTGGCGGGCGTCTTGCCACTCTGTTCCTTTTGTTTCTTTTTTTTTTTTTTTTTTTTTTTATAGCTGGGCCTCGTCTGTGCGTGTGTTTTCACAGTCACAGACTGAACGTGTACCAGCGGGCAAAACAACAGTCCATTTGCCTTTTTCTGCTGGGCCCACCTCTTTCTCCCTCGACGCACTAGTGTGCCTTCCGCGAGCCTCAAATTTCTCTTGTGGTGACAAGTTTACTTTTCTGCAAGGCTGGGGGCGTGTACGGGTGGTTTAAATGAACTATGTGCCAACTGCTTAGAAGGACAGATAGAGAACCTGTTCCACTGCTTCCTCCATTGCCCCAAGATCAAACCCATATGGAATAAGATTTCACAAATATGGTTCTCAATAACCAACACGAATTTTACAGCGAACCCTTCCCTTATTCTACTAGGTTTCACAACACCCGAAGACTGGCCTCCCCTGCAAATCAACCTATTCCAAATCCTGCGCAAGTCAGCACTATGGTCCATTTGGAGAAAATGATGCCAGGAAACAATGGACAAACAACCAACGCACGTGAAGCATGGAGTATCCTCAGACAGCAGGTAGAAACAAAATACTGGGCCCTATGGCGCAAAGTCAAGAGGAAGATGAAAGCGAACAAACCCAAAGCCAAAGAACTCCAAACCAAATTCGAGGATAGTTACCTTGCCAAGGGTAAGATAGCAAGTTTAAATCCTAATCTTCACAATATGGAACGATACAACACAGACCGATAGTCCAGACTCAAGACCAATGATCAGCACACCAGACTCATTGAGCATCCGGATCGATTCCTTTTAAAAACACTGCAGGTTACCATACTAAAGACAGACAAGGAGCACAAGCGACATCCTCACCCCCCCAAACTTATCCAAACAACCTCCCTGCAGAATCAAAGCTACCGACGACAGCACAATAGAGCCCTTACTAACAAGACTGCACTACAAACCGCAACGCCCCACAGACTTCATCACCAGCATAAACAACACACAGCCCTAATCCCCCCTCAAACCCCGCGTACCCTTCATACCCCTCCTGCACACACCAGCCCTAGTACCTCCATACAGTCAACCTGAGCCCAACCCTTATCCCCCCAGTCACGACTTTACACACCCGATCACAACAGCCACCCAACCTTGCAACCCAGATCTGCAAACATCCCACACAATCTCGTCTCAATTCAGTTAAAATAGTACCAGCCCCATCCCACATTATTTCCCAAATGATACCTCCCTCCAATTGATGTGAGAATGACCTAAGGATACAAGACATAGACTATAGGAGGAGATTTCAAGTAGGCTGTTTGCAGGCCAACTAAATCAGCTAGGGTGTAGGGATTTAGCACCAGGTGGGGTACGACGATAAGGAGAATTTAAAAGGGAGGATGGGGTTAAGTCCAGATACAGGCATTAGCAACTTGACCTAACAGGGTTCAGGGTTATCAACACCTAATGTGGAGGGCCAAGTCAGCAGTTCTAGTACTCAAGGAGAATCTGTCAGTCAAACATCTGAGAGGAACAGGTTAGACGAGCCCTGTCCTAAGCAGTCCAATAGGGACCTGAATACTGGGTCTGTTTCCATGTCTTAGAATCAAATAAAAGAAATCAGGCTGACTTAGGCAGGGGTGAGGTGTGGTACATCCTTCCAGCGAGAAGTAATGAATGCCGTCCCTCGGGCTTTCCTACCGTTAAAGGGGAAGAGCGTGTGTGAGTCCGATATGTATTTCCGTTTGACTTGCCGGTGGAATAGGAACCGGACTGATGCTCCCCAAAATGGAAAAGGAGCCAGAAGCAAAAGGTTCTGTTTTTGGTATTAAAAAAAAGAAAAAAGAAAAAAAAACATCACCTGCATGCTACTGACATTGGAGGGGTGTGTTTTTCTTTCACTGGATCTGCTGCAAAATGTCGCCTTCTTTGCAGCCAATCATTCGGAAAGAACCCGGCGGAGAAATTGTTGTCAACTTCCATCCTGAGCTTATGCGCCTCATTCGTGAGACTCGGTACTTGGACAGAATGGGGTTCCGCATACCGGATGTTGCTCTAAATGTTACTCTGCAAGAGGACAAGTATCATACATATGTAGAGAATCTCCGAGGGATGCTGAAAAGCTACCATGCTGTCAGGGAATTGATCACTTCGATTGAGAAGAAGCTTCTTGGATCACGGCTTGCCAGACTAGAGAGGGTGCTTGACCCCGGATTCTCGCCTCTGAATTGGAACTCCTTGGGCATCCCGGATTTCATTAGTACGTGTACCAAGGCTATCAACGAGTTCAACTCACTGGTGAATCAGGTACAGACACTAGTTGTCTTCCAGAGGTCTTCTGGTGGAGATTGCAGCTTTGCAATTAATAAATAGAAGATATGCTTGACAGCCTTCACAGCATTTACCCCCATTATGGGACTAAAATTCACTAAATTAATTAATTAAAGGGTTAAAGGAGGCATGATAGGCAGGAGGGTGTAAAAGACATTAGGGGGTTCAAAGGGTGGTGTACTGCTTGGAAGTCACGTGTTGTGAAGATGTACGGGAGATATTTCTTCGATTGAAACAGAGGTGAGATCCTGGAAAGAAGACTAGATAAGAATCATCAAAATCAATCGTATAGCTAGGAACAGGGCCGGCACACAGGGGTGAATTCACAGAGATACCTGAGCTCCTCACTAGGACTGCAAGACCAAAACACAGTACAAAGCCCAAGGTGGTGGTGGACTATCCTAACCCTTATAGTGGGCGAACAGCCGATGACAAGCTGTGCGCCGATTCGAAGTGGAGTTTCGAAGCAGAGCTGTTGATATGAGGCGATCGATGGAGGGGGGGCAGCAGAAGGGGTCTGCACACGGAACTGGTCACAGCTTGCCGAAGAACAAAGGGAGAGGCAGAAGGGCGGTGGCAAACGAAGGGCGCAAACATCTGTGCACGCAGATCATCGGATAGGATGTTGTTGGGTCTTGGCATGGGGTTCGTCGCAGTCGCTCTTTCCGGGTGACTGGGTTCAGTGTTTTCCGGTTTGTTATTCCACATTTTCGTGTTGTTGGGGGGGGTTGTGGTTGCATTGCAATGTGTTGTTAGCCGTGGGGAAGGGGGGCCGGTTCATTGTTCGTTGCGTTGTATTCGTGCACACCGTTTTGTGAGAACGGGCAAAAATTTGTCCATCCACTGCTGCATACGGCCATTCTTGTCGGGGGTTGGACCGGCAGTCTGCTAGGATTTCAGGGTTGGTGTGACTAAGTCCATCACTTTTCTCAGGGTTACCGCTTGCTATGGGTGACATGGTGAGTCCTTATCCATCAGTCAAGTGCATCCTGGGTCGGTGCAAGTCCAATGAAACAGTCTGGCAGTCCTTATCCATCAGTCAAGTGCATCCTGGGTCGTTGCAAGTCCAATGAAACAGTCTGGCACAGTAATGCTTTTTTTGTGGAGTTGTGTGTAGCGGACATGACTTTTTAATTGTTGGTGGCCCGAGAGTTCGAACCTGGGCACAAATTTTGAAATACACATAGACAGATGAGTTAACCACTGAGTTAGTCTGGGTCCCTCTCTGGATTTAAGGAACCGCTTTCTTACAGAGATGCCATGTCTGAAAAGACCCGGGGCCTGCCCAGCCAGAAGCATCACTCCAGCCACGGGCCTAGCTCAGTTGGTACAGCTGCGAACTGCCAAAATACGGAGCTGCTGCTGCAGCTGTTGCTGCTGTTGTTGCAGCTGCAACTACAGCGGATACAGCAGGTGAAGCTGCAGATGCAACTGCTGTTGCAGCAGCAGATGCAGCCGCCCTGTGCTGATTCGGACACTCCAGGGCCTGTCCAGTTAGGCCCCCGATGGAAGCAAAATGTCACCAACAATTCTGCGGGGGCACCCAGGCCCTCGAAAATGGCCTGGGCAACCCCAATTGGTTTTGGGATTTTTTGGGAATTGGGCCCATCTGGACCTACCGGACCAGACACCGGACCCGTACATCCAGACACGGACTGTCTGGATTGGGATCTGGAGGTCCTGTTGGCAACCATGGCTTATTTGTCGCCCACTCTATGGATTGGTGACAAGTTTGGTTTAAAAGGTGTGTGAGTTTTGTTATAAAAAGACCTTGAGAAAAGCCTGGAAATTTAGGGCTCTGTTCACTCCTCCTGTTTCCCATTTTGGGGAAAAGAAAGTGGATGAAAAAATATGAAGCTTTCATTTTTGACGTTTTCATAATTGAAGAGAGAAAGTAAAAGGTAATTGTCATACTTGCTGGGCCACAGTTGAATCTGTGAGCTGACTCTCAGTGCTGTCTGAACTGATGGCAAAATAAGGATGAGAGACATTGGAGGGGGAAAAAGAGTGCCATAGCATTCAGCATGATAAAGTCGGGTTGCTGCAAACAGGTTTAGTCAGAGGAGTGAATACCACGAAGTGTCAGAAGCCAGTCCCTCGGTGCAGTCAGATTCTCACAACATTCATTATGCCACTAGAAGCTTTTGAATTGTCATACCAAAGTGAATGCACCTGAACACTTTTGAATGTCAGTTGTTTGAGTTGATCTTAAAATAGTAACATCGAAACTCTTATAGCATCAGTTGCCAGGACAGTGGGTAATGCACAAAGAACAAGAGGATATCAGCGCATGAGACTTTGCTTAGCTGGCTGAGGACATACACTAAGACCTTTTGCCTTGAAAACCTACAACATTGGTGGCCAGGAATAGACTCCTGGTGGTGCATGGAGTCACACACGAAATGCAAATAACGGATTTTGCAAGCACCTTTGGAGTTCCTTGCAAAATGCTACCTCCCATGGACCAGCAGGCCACTGACATTTTCTAAGGCAAATACTAGTTCTGGAGGACGTTGGGCCCTGTGCTAGACACAGTACGCTGATGTCGTGTAGTTTCAGGCAAAAGGTACTAGTGTGAGTATGCCCCCCATGGACCAGCAGGCCGCTGACATTTTCTAAGGCAAATACTAGTTCTGGAGGACGTTGGGCCCTGTGCTAGACACAGTACGCTGATGTCGTGTAGTTTCAGGCAAAAGGTACCAGTGTGAGTATGCCCGGAATGTTCTGCACCTCAACTATGTTTTTGGGGATTTGAAATATGGTCGTACCTGACTGTTATGGGCAGGTATGGATGTGGCTTTGTATTGGGCGGGTATGGACAGGTACAGTCACGCAGGTACGGGCAATGGCTGGGTAAGGGTTTGCTCGGGTCGTCCCAACCCTCACTGAACAATTCCCTACCATGCCCGGCCTTGTTGTGTTCAATTTTGTCCCAGTACTCACCTTCAGTGTTGAACAAGGATGGTGAACGAATGAACTCCTCAAGTCTTTTTCCCAATACTCACCTTCAGTGTCGAGCGAGAAACATATTGAAAGATTAAGCCCTTCAATTATTTTTTTCCACAGGTTCTCACTTTTGCCTCTCCAGTCAGTTCTGCTTTGGGTAAAGAATTTTGGTAGGAGATTTGTGGGCTGGGAACATTGGTTCCCCTCTCCCCTCAGGGCGTGCTCAAACTGGGACTGGGTTTCAGCTGATTTCTGGATGTAATTTGCGTCATCTACATCCAGACCTCTCCATAATTTGAGTCAGATATGGTACGGGTACGATGCGGGTTCATGGCTGCGGGTACAGCTGGATACGAGTGAATGGATGGAGCTATGGGAGATAAACAATGATCACGGGTCCTGAGGGGTCTTGTGCAGGTACAGGTGAGGGTATTTTTTCAATGTGTTGGATGAATCAGGTACGGAAGCAAAAAATTGAAATCAACTGGGTATGCATAAAAAAATATTTTTTGGCTGCATCTGGGTGAGTATGTGTGGGCAAAGGCGGTCTGCTGTGGGTAAATGAAAAATAATGACCTCTGTGCCCTGTTTGACACTGTCAAAGCGTGTTGGTTGAATTTCAATTTTATCTGACTGATTGTCACCTCCCTTGAAATTTCAGGTACAAAAGAATTCCAATATTATTGAGAAGGTTGTTGACACAATCTGGAATGCGACATTGATTGTGTCTTTCCCGAAACGGACAGCTTCTGAAATTATGGATTTGCAGGTCAGTGTAGTCCTCAGAGAAAACTCCTGTACAAGGTCATGATTCAGTCATGGGAAACGGTTTGTCACTGGTGTGGCAGACTACTACTGTCTTCACCCGAATAGAACGAGCGGTCATTATCACTGCATGTGGATTGAACGTTGCTCCAAATACAGCTATAATAATCGGCTGTTCTATTCTGCAAGCAATATGAGCGAGAGTGATAGACAGAAGTCCAGATTGCAAAATCACGAAGTAGCCCAGATAGTCATGTACCAAGCAGAGAGCACAAGTATGGCGGTGTTAGAGATGTCAAAATCGCTGCCCAACTTCTCATGGCCTTACTCAGACTTATATCCGTACTTGGAGTATGGTCTGTCAATTGTACTTGCTGTCCAATGCAAGTCAACAGCCTACAGTTGCTCCCACACGATGCTGTTGATCGATTTCCAGTTAGGGGAAAGTCTATCGTTAGCGTCCACCACCCCTATGTCGGCTAGTAATGATGCCTTGATTGTTACGTCCTTCTTTAGACATTTTTCCAGAAGTTAAAGATTTTTCAGGTTTGAGATAACTAAGATTTTTGTAATCAGAAACTGATCTGTTTCGTAGGCTTCCTGCTTAAATCCAAAATGTCCATTTGGAAGTTTTCTTGAAAGTATTTTGCAGTTGGCTACACCTCTTTGTCAAGCCACTTCCTACCGCAGTTTACTTATGAAGAGGACATCTCTTCAATTGACAGTCGAGTCAGGCAGTCCGGTAACCCGTAGTTCATTCGTAGATAGGTTAGTCCTTGAGGCCTCAAAACTGGCTATAAACCTAGCATACTTTGGGAACCGGTCCTTTCTGTAAAACACCTTGCTCTTCTTCGTCTCGCTGGTTTCAAGTATATTTGAGAAACAGATTAGCGTGGGGAGAGAAAGTTTTGTCCAACATTGAGGACAACCGTAGTTAGTATAGTAGGTCTGCGGAATTCTCCCTGTGTTTGTGGTGTCCAGTCACATCATAATATTATTCTTTTTTTTTCTTTCTTTCTTTTTTTTTTTTTTGAGAAAAACAGAACCTTTAGGTTCTGGCTCCTACCATTCTGGGGATAATATTATTCTAAAAATAAACTACAGCATCATTTTTTATTTATTTTTTTACAAACAATACAGGACCTCATGGCCCCGGCTCCTTTTCCATTCTGGGGAGCATCAGTCCGGTTCCTATTCCACCGGCAAGTCAATAAAGTAGAACATCATAATTAGAAACACACGCTTCCTTCCGTACGGCCAAAGGACCCCTGACCAGCATTGATTACTCCATCCGCATGGAGGATTGACTGTCAGCTTGCCGTGCTATACCCTTTCCTCTCAGGTCTGCTGCCACAAACCTGCCATTTAGGACCCGAAAACCAAGAAAGGGTTTAGCCCCCTAAACAACCCCCCTATCTCTCAACTCACCCTGAACCTCCACATTTCCTGACTGTGCCTGTATACCAGTTCCCTTTTCCCTAAACACCCCTTAATGTCTACCACTCACCCTCCACCTTGATTCCTCTGGTGCTGTCCAGCCCTAGCTTCGTCCATCTTGAGCTGTTGTGATCTGCCTAAGATCGCTGTCTTAAGCTGTTTCAACTGGCCAAACCCTTAAATCCTAATGCTTCTGAGCCGTTACCAGACGATTAGGATCCTACAACCCTGAACCCTCCCTCATTCCTCGTCGTGATAATCCTTCTCTGTTTTACCTCCTCTAGAGTCAACCTGATGACTGTGAGCCAAGGGTACTCTTTGCGTTCTCTCTTCCTGTTGTACGGTGTGTAAACCTGTCCCTCGTTGATGTTGGGGGCTATCTATTCTGTCCTGCGTCGGCAAGTGTATCAGCTCTTGTTGCCCTCTCCCTTGTCTGACCAGGATCCGTTTTGCAGCGTCCATGACAGACGTAGGTCCCTTCCTCCCTGCACCAATCTTAATCCTCCTTACCTCTCCTCTTGGCTCGCGTTCGTGATGCCTGGTGTCCCTTACTCCCTTCAACTCGGCTGCCTGTCTGTTACCGGCATAGTCCGGGCTCTCCTGCCTGTCTCTGAATTGTGCCAGTCTTTCCAGTAAATCCGGTCATTCCGTAGCTCAGCCTCCTTACCGTCCCCTAAACACAGCCTGGTGAGCCAACGCCTTTACTTTTCCTCCTTAGCGTGGTTCTGTTGCCTCTTGCCTCCCTGATGGGCCTTGGTATTTTCCTTTTTGGACATGTTTAGTCTGGCTTCTCCCCCCCATAACCGATTTGTGATGCACCTTTCACTTCATGTCTGATTCTCTCCGTTCGTCTACCCTGGTCCCCACCTGTCGGTTCAGGGAAATTTTCCTTCACTTCTTCTCTTCTGCACTTCCTCCTCGAGTCTGGCTCCCTCCCCTCTGCGATCTTATGCCTAGGCTCTCTGCCTGAGCAAACATCTTCATCTCTGCTATGACCTTTCTCTTGTAGGGACAAGGCCTTCGGGAGTCCTGGAGCATCTTTCCTTCTTGGAGAGCCGCGTCATTACTTTGCGTTTCTCAGAAATGGGGTATGGTGCAGTGGGGGCGTGTTGGGTCAGGGTGGGGACGGGTCCAGATATTGGGGCGTATGGCCTACTCCGTGCTGGGTAGAATCAGTGTGCCCCAAAACTGGGAAGGGTTGTCGAGAAGAAAATCCTACTTGGTTGAGGTTCTAGCCAAAAGCAACTTTACATGTTGCTGTTTAAGAGAGGAAGGACGCCTGGTGAGTAAGGGGACGCGGTGAGTCAGTGCGTGCTAGGAAAACTTCCCTTGTTATTAGTCCCAATTTGCGAAGAATAGGCTGTCTCCTTCTATTTTGCCATTTTGTTCCCTAAAAGCCATGTTTTTTCGAATCTTTTTCGGCTTAACTCCCTTTTGTCTGGTTGTACTATCCTCTGCTGTTCCTTTCGCTCCTTGGACCAGCGGGCTCTTATTTCCGTTTGTATTATCATTTTTATTTCCGTCCATCTCTCCTCTATGTTTGGTAATTGGTTTTCTAGGGTACCTTTGCACCTTGCTTTCCAGATTACCCAAAGGGCTTCTCTCCTCCATAAATTGGCCACGACCACTACTTCTTCCTCTAGGTCCTCACTTTCCAGCCTTCCTGCTAGGAGGTAAAGCGGACCGCTGGGAAAGTCATAACCCGTTAGTTTACACCAGAGGCCCCTTGTTCTATCCCACACCTCTTGTGCTTGCTGACAGGATATTAAACAGTGGACTAAGGATTCCTCGACGCAGTCATCGCACAACTTGCACTGTGAACTTTGTTGTTGGGAGTCCTCCTGTTTTCTCCTTTTGGCCAGCCATAGGTTGAACGGTACTGCCCAGTAGAGTATGAGCCACTGTAGACTTCTGATTCTTACCGGCCTTATGTTTGTGTACTGGCTCCAAGGGATTTTATTCGTCCAACCTGCGCTTTCACTGAGGTTCTTTTTCCACCTTTCCGAGATTATTGGATGAGGATCCTTTGTGTGGTTGCCTAATTTGTAGCCCGTTTTAACTTCATAATCGTATATTGGAATGAGCTTTTTCGCTCTCCCCGAGTTACTGGGTACCTTCCAGCCCCATTCCGCTGGGTCCACCTCTAGATCTTTATAATGTCTAGGTCTGGCCTGAATAATCTGACCCTGTTAGGATCTGGTTGAATGGATGGGTACTGTTTTCAGCGATTCTTGGGCGTGCATGATCGTACTCTTTTGAGGGTGTTGAGATTTTGAGCTGTCCTTGGTTCTATTATCCTAACTGGCTTTGCCCAAGATTTGTGCGCTCCCTCTAGTTCGTAAGCGGCAAATTCAGCCTTACCTTCTTCTGAGTCCAACAGCTGGATCAACTTGTAGGCGACAGTTGGGGGGTCTGGTTCTCTTCTTGTGGCCCATTCCCCCACTGCCCACTTGGTTTTGTTCTTCAGAAGAAGGGCCCATTTCAACGGGACACTTTCTAGTAGTTTCTCTAGATGATCCTTTAGGTTGTGGGCAGTAGCCCATCTGTTTTCCTCCAAGATCCATAGATGTTCTATTTTCCACACTCCCTTGCTCATCCATTTCCTCCAATGCCTGCCTTTTGAGTTTAGCGACCACGGTTTGTTATTGTGGTCCCTTAATAGGGGGTTACCAAATAGCGGCTGCCTCAAAACTTCCTCTCTTATTCTTGGGTTTCTTATCTTTTGTGGGAAGCATGTCCTCCAATGTTTTATTAGTGTGGCCCAGTGCTCACTCGCTGGGTCTTTGTTCCCAGCGTGTCTCCCCCCTTCCTTCCTTCTTGGATTCCATGAGGGATTGAGTAACCAATGGTATCCTTCTATGGAAGAGTCGACTTTAGAAGGTACTAAGTTACGGACCTGGTGAAGTGCCATTTCGTGCCATGGTAGCTCTCTATTGAAAAGGAGTTCCATTATCCACTTGTGTTGCAGTGCTTGAAATTGTGCGGCCGGGTCAATAGTCCTAACCCCCCTTGGTGTTTGGGTCTGGTGATGTATTTCCAGGCCACTTCGAAGATGTAATGCTCTTTTTCCACTTTCCCAGTCCAGAGATAGGAACCTAGTTTTTTTTTTAGACTTGCGAAGAAGCTTGCTGGCAGGTTCCAGAGGGACGCCACGTACCATCCCATGGATAGGATTGATGTGTTGAGTACTAATACTCTTCCCATCAGTGAGACATACGTTGCTTGCCAACCTGTGAGTCTGTTGGTCATTTTGAGGAGGAGGCTGGTGCCTGAGTTGTTGTTGGTCCCGTCAGATGATATTTGGATCCCTAGAAAACGCATTGGTTGATAAGCGTCGAGCCATTGCAGTCCCTGGGTTTCTTGGGTTTGTTGAGGAGGGTGTGAGGAGGCTAGCCACCATCCTACTGTTTTGTTCCAGTCGATTTTCATTTCCGCTGCAAGTTGGAAAGCTTGCATTGCCTTTGTGAGAGCTTGGAATGAGGAGTCGGTTGCTCTGATCAGCACGGTTAGGTCATCAGCGAAGAGTATGGCTGTAGGTATGACGAAAGGCCTTCCATCCTTTTGGATAATGAGTTTTTCTATGGATGGGTCTTTGCGAAGGAAGACTTCTATTGCTTCCATCACAAACAGGAAAATTGGTGTTGCGAGTGGATCTCCTTGCCTTACAGATCTGGTCATTCTGTATTTCTCTG